GTTACTTTGGCTGTTAGCCTTGAATATTGGAGCAAATTAATGTCGAATATGAATTTTAAAGAGTACTTCTTCGCTTCTGTCCAAGGGTAAATGAGATGCAGAGACGTGGGGCTGGTGGGGCCTGGTCCCGAAACGCCATAGGGGTTTCAGCTCCCTAGGGTATTACGTTTTTAAAAATTAAATTATTTATTTTTATTAATTTATTTTTAAGTTGAAGTTGACATGCGATATTATATCAGTTTTAGGTGTACAACACAGTGATTCAATAATTATATATTTTACAAAGTGATCACCATGATAAGCCTAATATCCATTTGTTACCGTACAAAGTTATTACGATATTATTGACTACATTCCCTATGCTGTACTTTGCATCCCTGTTCACTTACAAGTGGAATCTCAAAAACAACATGAATGATCAGACAAATTAAAGCAGAAAGACTCACAATATGGAGGACAAACTGATGGTTGCCAGTGGAGAGGTGTTAGGGGGATGGGTGAAAAGGTAAAGGTGATTAAGAGGTACAAAATTCCAGTTATAAAATAAATAAGCCACGGGCATTACATTTTAATCGCCTCTTGAAAATGGATTAGGACCTCTGAGGATAGTCAGTGCTCTTCATCCAATGGGAAGAAGACACCAATGTATTTGTGTTCAATTTTGCTTTGTTATAAAATAAATAAGCCACGGGCATTACATTTTAATTGCCTCTTGAAAATGGATTAGGACCTCTGAGGCTAGTCAGTGCTCTTCATCCAATGGGAAGTATTTGTGTTCAATTCTGCTTTGCTTGATCTGAGAGGAGATAGAGACAAGGGACATTCCACTTCTGTCCTGGGCAAGGGCTGGGGGAAGGGACAGATAGCTCAGAGAGGGAAGAGAGTTGGTTTAGCCTTTGGAATATGGCCCTGGTGGGTCCATGGCTGTCACATGCTCAGTGTCCTGTCAGCCACAGCCATGGAGGCTCCTCTAGCCTGTTATATGGGGGCATCACCAGTGTGTGGAGAGGCCGAGATGCTCAGCTCCGTGGACGGAGGCCAACTGCTGAGAGCCATCACCATCGGAACCCAAATGCCCCCAGATCTCCTTCATCTTCCTTCAATCCTTCTTCACGCATACAAGGGGAGAGGAAAGGAGACAAGTATTTAAGGCTGAGGTGCACTTTGTATATGCATTGTTTCACCTACTTCTCAAAACATTCCTACAAATAGGTATTTGTAATTCCATTTATTTGGAGAGGCTAACTGGCCAAGGTCAGTAAGACAGCTGGGATTGAAGCTGGGTTGGTCTGACTCTATAGTCCAAGATCATCCATTAGATAAAGATGAAATCAAGACCCTAGAGCATCTGGACCTGGCGAGTACCGAGGGGATGAGGGCGAAGGGAAGAGAGCACTATGCAGGAAAGGGAGGTCTGCTTTTCTCCGAGAGGCAGCTCTGACCCCAGCGTCAGTGTGGCCTGGCCCCCCACTCCGCCCTAGCTTTTCTGTGATGAGAGGCCTGTAGGCAGCCAAGTGCTGAAATGCACAGGGTGGGCAGCCTGCCTCCTCATGTGTATGGAGCACTTGGCTGGCACTCCCAATCTTGTTTAATAGCTGACAAGTTGTTAGATCATAAGAGAGTAAAGGCTTTTCACTATCTCGGTTTGTTTCTCTGCAAAATGAATACCACAGTCTTTCTCTATGTGGGCTTTGAAAAATCGCTATTATCTGTATTGAGTACTTTAAGTGCATTAGAACATTATTTCTTCAAAGCAAATGGGAGCACTGTGACCTTCTCTTGGACAGGTTTGCTCTCTCCCTTCAAACACTAGTTCATATGGGGGCTCCCACCCCCCGAAGCTCAGCAGGCCACCAAGTCTCATTTCCAGTGAGTGTCATTTAAGAGCCAAAGCAAGCTGACTACAAACTTTTTAACATGTGCCTCTCATCTGCTCAGCAGAAATCCCTGTAACTTGTTAATAGTTCTTTGTATTTTTTTTTGTAGTGAAACCAATTGAGGCCTTAAATCAGTACCATTCGTTCCATCTTGGGCCATCCGAGAAAACCATTTAGAGTTGTAAAAAGTCATCTGCTTCGTCCCACACTTCCTGCCGCAGGGCGAGGGCCAGTGCCTGATGCAGCGTACCTATACCAGGACAGTGGTGCGCCGGACAGGGGGTCTCCCGGGGGACCACATAAACACCAGATCTGGGAGAGCAGGGACAGACTTTCAAAGGAAGGAGACCAGATACATCGCCCATAAAACACAGCTCTCTTTACAGCTGGAGTCAAGTTTCCCCATTTGTGCCATAGCACTTATTTCACGGAAGCTCATGGCATTTAGGGTGGAAGATGAGGAAAATGTGGAGAATGCCTCAAAAAGGACCCACACGCTTGCAGAAAACAAATTCCCGAGCTTCCTGTAAGGCCGTGCAAGAGTCACAAAAACAAGCAGCATGAGACCTTCTTCCTCACCCTCTCGGCCTCCCTCTTGGGCCCCTTCATTCTATTGAAAAAATTCCTTGGAAGGTGCTTGTTATTGGCCATCCACACTCGAGCATAAATCGAATCCTCAGACAGAACTATGATTCTGAGGAGGACAGAAACCGAAGCCATCAGTTCGAGCCCCTCGTTTCACAGATGAGGGGAACTGACAGGTAGCCCACCTCGCCTGTGCTCGTGAGCTGGGTGGAGGCCTGGAATCAGGCCTGGTGACCTTCCTGCCATGCTCCGCTGCTGGCTTACTTTGTCCAGAGTGGTATTATAGAAAGTTGGCCTTATCTCAATTTATGGAATAAAAAACTTTTTACTTCCCTTCAAGGACTTGAAGGCATGGACAAGAAACAAGGGAGAATAACCTAAAATGGCTTTAAAATCAGTAGCTATTTATAACTTAATCCAATTCTACCTTGGAAATTCATCGAGGACATTCTTTTGACCAAGGAGGAGATGATATTAGTTGGGTTTCATAAAAATTTAACTTTGAAAAAAACTATCAATGAGAGCTAAATTTGTGCTGCTACAGCCAGTACTACTACCTTATCTGTAGACGCAGGCTGAGGCTTTTCTCTTCCTGTTAAAAATGAACTTTGATGCATCTGCCTCTCAGTTTGCACATCTGGACCCTCCTCCTCCCTGCCACACGATGGTTTCTTTGCATCCCAATATCTGGAACCTTGCTGGTTTTCTTGCTGGTTTTCTCCCTCACTGATAAAAACCTTATTCCTGCTCCTTTCCACTTAAAATGGCCTTTACCCTTTTATAGCGGCTCAGTATCTGAGAGTCCCTACATGCGTTGTGGGTGATCCACATGCTCCTTGGGGAATCATAGCTCTCCGCAAATCAGGGAAACCCCCACCCTTGCCCCGCAGGAAGAACTGCACCCTGGGAGAGTCCCCGTCGCGAGGACAAAGTAGCCACTCCTTCTGGAATTCAAATGAAAGGTCGCGGAGCCCCAGCACTCACGCTGTCTCACTTTCCAATGGGCGAGGCAGGAAGTGGGTGCTGCGCTGCTGCTTCCTGGCCCGGGCAAGGGGAGGCTTGGAAAGGTCAGTTTTGGCCGCCTTCAGCCATCTGAGGCGACGTCCGAAGTAGGCTGGGTTGCGCCGGCGCTTTGTGTGTTGGTGCATCAGCCACCAATCCAGTTCTAGTATGTACGCGTCACGAGAGAAACCCTCTCAAATACAGACTCGGGACTTTAGATCCTCTAGCCCACGTGTGCTCCTTGGACCTACAGCATCAGTATCACCTGAGGACTTACTGGAAATGCAAATTCTCAGGCCCTGCCCTCTAGACCTATGCATGGAAACTTGGGGTGGAGTCAGCGATCTGAGGTTTACCACTCCCGCCAGTGATTCTCGGGCACGTTGCGTTTAAGAATCACTGCTCTAGGCACTTGGAATTGAGGAATCTGGGCTGTATCGTTGGTTGTCCACCTGGGCTGCACATTAGAATTACCTGGGGAAATTTTAAGACAGTATGGATATGGAGGTCCCGTACTCAGACATTCTCTGTCTGTCTGAGGTGGGATTCTGGAACCTCAGCAGTTCTTAAAGCTCGAGCGCAGCTGCTCCGAGCTTGAGAACCACTTATCCAACTCGAGTTCTCGTCTTCTAGAAAAGGAAACTGAACCCTAGAGGGGAGAGCGGCTTGCCAGGGTCAGAAGGGGGTTAGTGTAGGCCGTGAGTACAACGCAGATCCCCTGGTTTTATGACCTGTTTGGCCTCTCATTATGAGTATCCCAAACCCAAGGATTATATTTACAGTCTCTGTTGCAGTCTCTGAGACTGGGCAGGCTCTAATACGGGGAGATTAGCAGAGCCTCTGGATCATAATGATTTCATTTTGGGTTAGCTTTGCTGTGTGCGAACCTAGCTCTTGTAATTGTACTTATAATGTCTTTCATATGACAGAACGTCAATCTCATATCTCAGTTCCCACTACCTGGGCCCCTCAGCCCTCCCAGGCCTCAACCTTGACTTGGCATCCTGCCCCAGTACCCCATTTCCGCTGAGATTAAGGTCCTGAGATTTGGTATCCTATATTTTTAGCTGGAAGACTAAATATGGTGAAGTAAGCAACATTGCCAAGTTGAAATACTTATGTAATGCATTTCCACTGAGAACGGGAAAAGCTGAGCGAATGGATTTTAATGCCGATTAGCAGAGGTCTTACTGGAAAGCGAAGCCGATGGTGAGAAAAGGCAGAGTGAATATTGGAAGGTTTATTACTATTATGATTACTTTTAAAAAACAAGACTTATTAAGACCTACTTCACAGAGAAACAACCCTCTTTGTCCTCTTTTGGAGTGTGTATGTGTGTGGGTGTGGACGTGTGTATGTGCGCACGCACAGGTGGAATCACTTAGCATAAGTCTGCTGAGTTAAGAGAAAGCAATGGTTATGTAAAACTCAGCCCGTCTTGGACATTTGAGGGTACCTCCTGCATGGCTTGCATCTGGCCTCGACAGACAACTTAAAAGGCCTCTGTCTCAATGGAATTCATGTTTTATTTTTCAGGGGGCAGCACAGGCACTTCCCCAACCACCTCCAGCACTGGGACACCATCCCCTTCGGCTTCATCTCATCTTTTATCTCCATCCTGTTCTCCTCCAACCTTTCATCTGGCCCCCAACACTTTCAACGTGGGCTGTCGAGAGAGCCAGCTGTGTAATCTGAACCTCTCTGATTATCCACCATGTGCCCGAAGCAACATGGCTGCCTTGCAGAGCTACCCAGGGCTGAGTGACAGTGGCTACAACAGGCTCCAGAGTGGCACTGCTTCAGCCACCCAACCCTCCGAAACCTTCATGCCTCAGAGGACTCCATCCCTGATCTCAGGAATACCAACTCCTCCCTCGTTGCCTAGCAACAGCAAGATGGAAGCCTACGGTGGCCAGCTGGGGTCCTTCCCCACTTCCCAGTTCCAGTATGTCATGCAGGCCGGCAATGCAGCCTCCACCTCCTCATCGCCACACATGTTCGGGGGCAGTCACATGCAGCAGAGCTCCTACAATGCCTTCTCTCTCCACAACCCTTACAATCTGTACGGATACAATTTCCCCACGTCCCCTAGGCTGGCCGCAAGCCCAGAGAAACTGAGCGCCTCGCAAAGCACTTTACTCTGTTCTTCTCCTTCCAATGGGGCCTTTGGCGAGAGGCAGTACCTGCCCGCGGGGATGGAGCACAGCATGCACGTGATTAGCCCTTCGCCCAGTAACCAGCAGGCGACCAACACCTGTGACGGCCGGCAGTATGCGGCGGTCCCCGGCTCCTCCTCCCAGATGTCGGTGCACATGGTTTAGTGGCCAGTGCAAACACCACGGAGCCTGCCGCGGCCGCGGCCCCTCCTCTCGGGAGCCCGGTGCCTCTGCAACGCAGGAACTGCGTGTTTTTTTCTTTTTTTCTTTTTTTCTGGAGGAGGAAATCATATACCCAAGAACAACGAGAGACATTTAAGCCACTGAAGTGTACCTGCGGTGGAATCATCTCCAACTCAGTGGCCGTTTTCCTGCCTTCCCAAAGCTTAGTTTTATAAAGCATCGTCTACCCAGAGTGGCCTTTGAAGAAAACTGAATAATCATTTTATAATAATGTTAAGGGAGATGCTAGCATTTAGCAGCTGTGAAAAGTTAGCTGCACACACACACACACACACACACACACACACACACAGACCTACCCATACATACATGCATGCATACACACACACGGTCCTACACAGACTCAGACACACGCATCCATGCACACTGACTCAGAACTGGGCGAGCTCTGTGGAGAGGCTCAGAACAGGTGCTTTCACCAGGAGTTTGCGTACAACACTAGATGGACGGGGCCAGCGGCAGCTGTCAACCTCTCTCCGCTGCAGCTTCCCGTGTTTCTGGAACGAACCGTGTATCCTGGAGCCCCTTCCCATCCGTGAAGGTGGAAAGGCATCCTTACTACAACTGGACCTGGCTTCTTGAAAAAGACTGCTTTTAAGTTCTGGTTGTCTTCACTCAGTATGCTATCACTGACGTTCCCAGTGGTGTCTGTGAAAAGAGGGAGTAAGAGCAGCTGAATGAGAGAGAGAGTGAGAGAGAGAGAAAGACTTGAGGGCAAGAGGCGGAGAGCGAGACTGAGAGAGGAAGTGTGAGCTGTGATGGGAGTTTTAATTCGCCAAGGAAATCTGGTTTTGGTTTGTTTCTCTCCGTTCTCCCTACAGGTTATGGAAAGAACCATGGCATTATTGAGGAGTAAACGTCTCTGGGACACTGTGCGTGGCCAGGATGCTGGCAAGAGGGACCGGGGCAAGGAATGCATCTCGATCGCACAGCTCTGACGGCTGTGACCCTGAAGAGGGGCGCGCCGCACGGGGAGTGCCGACTCCAGCGCAAGCGCCTGGCAGGGCAAGGGACTTAGAAGGAGTGCAGAAGAGCGTTTTTTGAAAGAAACCAAGCGCAGAGGCGACAGAGAGGCCTGGCCCCAGCACGCCAGGCCCAGACACCGGACCCGCCCGCCCGCTCACAGCCCGTGGCAGGAGAAATCCCGTCACGGCCCAGGGAATTGCAGATGGCCCTGTACATCTCCCACTCGCCCTTAGAGCTCCATTTTTTTTAATCAAATAGTTCATTGCATTTTGAAGTTTTGGGTTTTTTCCCTTCATCTTTCCCTTCCCTTGAAATCCTTTAATGATTAAGAAAACAAGTGGAGTTTGGTGCCAGCTAAACTTTTAAAAATGGTGTGGAAATGCAAATAATGCCAAGTAAAATAATACAGATATTATTAAGATTTTTGGTTTTGAGGTGTTGTAGATAAGTGTATTTATGTGCCTAGTGGGGAATTCGATATTATGAATATTAAAAAAGGGGGCAATAAAAAGGGTATGTAAAATATGTATGAAGAAAATGTGTATAAAAATTTGCCCTTATGCACGGAACTGTCTCAAAGTGCCAAGCACAGAAAGCCGCTAAATAAAATCTTCGCCATTATTTTCTGCGTGTTTGTTCACATGGAAAAGTAGGTAGGGGCCTGTGCATCTGCATTATGCTTTCCAGTGAGCACAGCACCGTCACCTCTGCCACTTCCCGTGACCTTGATTCAGACTCCTTCCGGAAGATACTACTGTCCACATCCCGTGGTTAGAAACTGAGGTCCAGAGAGGTCAAACGGTCAACCGGAATCATACAGCCCATCAGAGAGGGAAGTAGAACCTGAAACCAGGTCTGACTCTAGTGGGCCGTTCACTTGCAGGTTCTCTGGAGAGACCTGTGAGTCTAACAGCCATCCTCACGCAAACCACGTGCCAGACATTACACGGTCTCTCGTCGAATCCTCCCACAATTCTGAGATGGGTATTATCATTTTATAAATCCAGAAATAAACTTTAAAAAGGTTAAGTACTTGACCAAGGCTTCAGGGTAGCAAGTAGTTCAGATGGCACTTTGACCTTGGGGCCTATCCTATTAGTACAAAGTCATTCCTTGAAGTCTTAGCAGTCCTGTGAGGCACTTGGACAATCAGGAAAGGAGACACATTCTAAGGGGGTGCGGCGGGACTGCCTCTGCGGCTGGACTTACTAGGTACGTTTAATTTTTAATATACACCCTCTCCTTTGAAGACACTACCTGATAGCACCAGAGGAGTGATTTTGGGTTGTATGCACCAAGTGATGATTTGTAAGAGACTAATAATGTACCTAGGGCTCTTCGATTCATAAGAACTTTCCCATATTACCTCATTTGAGTCTCTCAATAATTATGAGATGTGAACAGGAGGCAAATGGGAGGCAGCAAAGCTAGGACTTGCAACCTTCTGTTCTTACCCCTACTCCAGATTGCTTTTTGGTGGACAGTTACCCTGGGAGCCTACTGACCCATTTCACTAGGGCTTGATTTGGGAGGCTCGAGTTCCTGTCCATTACACTTGTTCACCAAAAATAGAGCTTGGTTTGGGGGAGCAAAAAATTAATCATTGGTTTTATAGATAACTTCAAAGAGTGGCATGCCAGTTAATTTCATTAGCCACTGGATCATTGTCAAAATAGCTGAGACAATGGCTGAGGACCTCCATGATCTGCAGGATCTTTAGGCATGACACGTCTCAAAATCTAAAAAGACTCTCCTATTTGGAAATCTTGCAGCCAACCCTCAGCTTTATAATGGAAGACCTAAAACAACTACATATGAAGCTTATGGTTATTTCCTTCTGACTTAGCAGCACACTAATACTGTTCACTGGTCTAACAGTGTTTGAGATTTTAGGTAACAGATAATCATAATATGCCACGGAGCAAACATGACATGGAAATCTCCATATTTTCATTTAATAGAATAGTAACTTCATAATCATTTAAGAGTATTAAGTACAGATTTGGATGAATTAGAACCCAAATCGGTTACATCTGAATTACAGCATGTGTTTCTATGTGTAATTGAGAAGTAATAATACCTAGTTCGACACCAACTGGATAAAGAATTGCCAGGAAGCCGTTCTACCCAATTCTCTTAAATGAAAGGGTGAAAATTCATTATAATTGGTACACTGGTTACACACAAAGGGCTATAGGAGGCTTATTCCTCAGTAAGTTAAGATGCTCCACCCTCACTCATGTTTCTTGAGGAAAGGTTGTCTTGTTGCTCTTTGCATTCTCAGTGCCTGGGACAGTTTCTGGCCTATTAGAGAATCTCAACACACACTCATTCTTACTGTTGAATCTGTTGACCAAACCCGTTTTTCAAAGATAATGCAAAATGGTAGCGTGGCTGAATTATTTACTCAAATTAATGGGACCTAAATTCACATGGATTTATTGTTCTTCATATTCTGTGACAGATTAATGTAGATTTAATTTAGATACTAGTTTGCCAGCATCCTTACACATAATGGAGGACTGAAAAAAATACATGTCACGGGTTCTTTCTTGAAAGGAAGGGTACACTTTTCAGGTTGTCATGGACATGTGAAGCAAATGACAGAAAAGGCTCTGAAAATCCAGAGAAGATGCTCAGTGTAAGAAGGTGAGGCTAGGGTTGTTTTCATTGAGGAGGGGTATGACTTGACTGAGCTCTGAAGGGTGCTGAGCATTATTATGGAAGGAATGATGGGCTAAGAAAGAAACTACATTTTAAAAGTCAATAACATAAGTTTTAGAGGAAAAATGAAAGCATCTCAATTCAAACCTAGCAATTTAATAAAACTAGAGACGTTCAGAACGTTCTTGCAACCCACAAATACACTCTTTTACGAAACAGTTTATCATTAGCGAGAGTATTGAGGGCTGAGACTGAAGGGCAGAGCTGTCTGGCTGAGGCCAATGTTTGAGTCGCTGCTTAGTCCTCTGAGGACCAGAGAGGCTCTGCTGCGCCTGTTTGCACCCCATAAGCTAAAGCAGAGTTATCCTCCCAAGGAAACCCGCCACAAAGATAAATTTTCACTAGGCTTGTCTGCTTGCGGTTGTCAACTGGAGACCTGGTTTCCGGTGAGGGCCACGCCTACGGCCAGCCTCATTGATTCATCAGGTTCAACTCAGTAACTGTTTCTTCAGTGCCTAGTCTGCATCAAGTGCCACTCTCAGATAAGGACATAGCGGTGAACAGTTAGGTATGTTCCTGCTTTCGAGGAGCTCCTGGTCTTATGGGAGAGCGAGGCAGAATACAGTCGTCCCCCACGTCCGCAGTTTTGCTTCCCACGATTTCAGTTACCCATGGTGAAATGCGACCCGGGAACATTAAGTGGAACATTCCAAAAATAAACAGCTCCTGAGTTTTAGGTGTGTGCCGTTCTGAGTCGTGTGAAGTCTTGTGCAGCCCCACCCCGTCCTCCCGGCTGTGAACCGCCCTTCTGTCCAGCACGTCCGCGCCGAGCCGCTGCCCACCCGCTCGTCACTCAGCAGCCACCCCAGTTATCAGACTGGCTGTCGTGGTGTCACAGCGCTCGCGTTCAAGTGACCCCTAGTTGACTGAATAATGGCCCCGGAGTGCGAGAGTCGTGACGCTGGCAATTCGGGTGTGCCCAAGAGAAGCCGCGAAGCGCTTCTTCCAAGTGGAAAGGTGAGTCGAGTACAAGACACTGAGAGAGAGAGAGACCACGTTCACATAACTTCTGTTACAGTATATGGTCATAATAGTTCTATTTTATCAGTCATTCTTGTTAATCTCATCCTGTGCCTAATTTATGCGTTACACTTTATCACGGGTGTGTATGTACAGGAAAAAACATAATACAGATAGTCCCTGACTGATAATGGTTTGACTTATATTTTTTGACTTTATGACGTTTCATAAGCTATAAACATTCAGTGGAAACTGCACTTCATATTTTGTATTTTGATTTTTTTCCAGGCTGTTGATATGTGGTTCAATACTTCCTTGTGATGCTGGGAGGTGAGCCACTCCCAGCCAGCCCCGAGCTTACGAGGGTGAGCAGCTAGCAGTCTGCAGTGGGCTGCCAGGCCAGTGTTTTTGTATATCGTGTTCCGAACACGGTTAAGGTAGGCCAGGCTAGGCCACGATGCTCAGAAGTTTAGGTGTATTAAATGCATTTTCGACCTACGACGTTTTTAACTTACGATGGTTTTATGGGGATGTGGCCCCGTTGTGAGTTGGGAAGCATCTGCGTATCTAGGATTCTATACCATCCACAGCTTCGGGCATCCACTGGGGCTCTGGGAACGTATCCTCCAGGGTAAGGGGGCTCCTGTACTCTAGCAAATCAGTGAACAGTGTGATTTCAGATTGTAAAAATCACTTTGAGGAAATTAAAAACAACAGGATGACAGAGAGTGATTAGGGAATGAACATAAAGGCTCACTTAGAAAGGCTTTCTAAGAAGGCTCCTCTAAGCAGGTGATATTTGAGCTCGCGCCAGGGCAGACATTGTCTTAGAATTTGCTGACTCCACGTTAGGCCAGTGGCAGCCATGTCCTCACTGGAAGATGCGTCCTGCTAGTCCGGCATCAGCTGAGGCCAGGCATTTTTCTGTCCTCCCCAGGGCTTTGTAGCACTGACACTTACTTGCTGAAGCCCTGCTGCTGGCCTTCGGCAAGCTGTAGAATACAGCTTGGTATTCTTCAATTTTCTCAGAACTGCTGTGTTATATGGGAATATAGACAATTTCTAACTTCAGGAAGATTCTGGCCTGGCTGAGGTATCGAGATATGTGCACAAGAAACAATGAACAGTAAAAGCACTGGATTGGTGTCAAGACCGTCAGACATGCCTCTTTTGATGGCACTTCGTAGATATTGCATTTTCATCGATGTTGAGGCGAGATCTCCACCAGCAGAAAGATTACAACTTGCTGGAGGCTCAGAGGAGGTTTAGCATTTTTTTTTTAGCAATAAAGTATTTTAAATTAAGTTATGTACATTATTTTTTTAGACATAATGCTCTTGCACACTTAATAGACTACAGTATTGTGTAAACATAACTTTTATATGCACTGGGAAACCAAAAAATTCATGTGACTCACTTTATTGCGACATTCGCTTTATTGTGGTGGTCTGGAACCAAACCTACAATATCTCCGAGGCATGTCTGTATATGCTGCACAATTTTAGAAGGAAAAAAAATTTTATTGAGTGTTTATTACATGTTACACATTATGCAAAGTTATCCCATAATCCTTGCAACTACCTTATAGGATTTGTATTTCAATCCCAATTTTATAGATGGGGAAACTGAAACTCATAGAGGTTAGTAATATGCACAAAATCATAGCTCTTGCAACTAACAAAGGCAGGGCTCCAACCCAGCCTTTCCACGACTATATTCTTCTAAAAATGAGATTTATGGGGACTGTAATAAAGAGAGACGTGTTCATGGAGAAGGCTGAACTTGAAGTTTCCTTTGAAGAAATCGTGGAAACGTTATAAACTGAGGAGAAGGGAGGGTGTCCTGCTGTGGGGGTGGGGAACGGCGCGTTGCGTGGAGGGGCTGGGGGAGAGGACTTTCGTTCGCTCCCTTAAGTCAAATCTCAGATCTCTCGAGTCAGATG